TACTGAAGTTTGTTAAATATTGTCACTAATTCGTCGTGCAAAATTGCAATATTTTCTCTTTAAGTATATTGAGGCAAAACAAATAATAAATTTATTATTTCTTAGTAATTTCTATCCAGTGATGATATACCGATGAATTCAAAAAGAAGACGAATTATTGTGTACGGTTTGGTCACTCGTTATGGTCCGTGCCACGACCAGTTACTAGCGCAAGAGGTTGCATTAGAAGATGCTGCTCCAATGATCTTGGCCTTGGCATATTGTCAAGGACCAAGAGGTTTTAGCTGTTGCTCGTTATTCCTTAAAAGTCATTAACTGTTAAAAATAAGACATTTTCCAACCAAATGTCCAAGACTGTTAAGAACATAAAAAGAGCGATCGTGACGTGATGCCGATTGCAAATATTTCGTTCCGATGTTCGTTAAAATGCATTGCTCACATTATTATTATTCAGAATATTGTTCGAGGATCGTGTTGGTAAATTTTCAAAATTATGAATTATAACTAATTTCTGTAATTGTTAACTGCACGATGCATTTTTATGGAATACATGAAACACTCAATCCAAAACAATAAAATTTAATCTAACTTGAATCAGTCTTGAATTAAATTCAGATGAAGGTAATTTGATCCATCTCAAAAACAAATTAGGTTAAATTAGGTTCTTTCTCAGTCTGTGTACTGTAGTTTGAAACAAATTTACATATAAAACATTATATAATAAATATATAAAGAATATAATATATATAAAGTGTTATATAATATTTTATATATAAAATATTATATATATAAAATAACTGAACATATTTTATATATATATATAAATTATAAATATATATATATATATTTTTTTTTTTTTTTTGAAAAATTGATGTTTCACATTCTATTTTTAGCAATTAATAATTTTTTAAGGAATATTAAGGCGACAGCCAAAATCTTCTTCGACAACACATATCATGGTCAAGCTCATGTAAATATCAACTTATTCTCAAATTTTTTTCACAAAAAAAGAAACTTCTCTTAACAATCAATTCTATATAAAATTGCGTTTGATTAATTTTGAATAATGAAAAACTGCAAAAAAAAATCACGTTTCATCTATTAAAAGTAATCAAACGTTGTCAGTAATTCACCGCGCGAGTGTAATTCTATTTATATTTCCGCGTTACCTCATTGCGGTTTCCTATCGAACCAGTCGGTACTTTATTTAGTTTAACTTCGCGTAATGGAACTTCATCCGTTTCCGCAGGGTAACCCGATGCAATAGCAAATATTCAAAGCTATCCGCGAAATTGCAACGCATGTAAAATCCGTTCGATATTTTGTAGAATTTGCGAAAGGCGTAATCACGGAAACAATCCGGAAAAAGTACAGGCGGCAGATGCTCTTTGTATATCGATTTTTTTTTAATTGCTTTTTATATCGCTACACTTTGATATTGCGCACAAAATTTATTTTATTGCGAACATAATGTATCGATGAAACGAATATGAACGTAAATGACAAATACGATTTTCTCGAAAACAACGTTTTTAAATGAACAAATTTTATTGCCTCTTTTCGACTTTTTTTTTTTTTTTCTTTGATGATGTAAAATTGTCTCCTTTCCGGTTGTTTGTCCGATAGCGTTTATCACATAGTTTATTGATATTATTCTCACGAAAACTACTAGATTATTTTTCACTTCGATAAGGTAAAAAGAGTAGTTTCTAAAGCAGTGGTTTTTAACCGGTTGTTCCGCGAAATTATGAAAGCTTGCGAGTTGTGGAAAAAATGTAGGTGTGATTTATCTGCCAATTTTCTCGATCCGATAAATTTTATGGCCTTTTGAAAGAACATTTACATACTAATGTAGGCGAGAAATGAACATGTATGTCAGTTCTCCCTGAACTAACATTACATATTAGCTCCCTCGTAAAAACCTCGTGACAGATATAAGTTTCATCATTGATTAATTTAGAAAAAAAGATTATGAAAGAGTTACTGTAGTTGCAATTTTCGGAAATTAATATTTTACTGCTTTCTCTTTTTCATCGTCACCTATATATACTTTAATACCTGCACATACATACGTACATATGTATAATTTTTAATAATGGGACACGTGCATGCTTATATTTATTAGCAAGTATAACCTTACTCGTTTTAGCGTTATAGTCAAGAGTGTTCCGTGACTTCATTAATGGTTAAGAACCACTGGTTTTAAGAGACGTACACGCGAATGTAAGGTGGGTGCGAAGTGTGAACCATGTTCCCATGATTAATTCAATCAGACCTTCAGTTCTTTACTGGATTGCGCCCTATCGATTGAAACTTTGAAACTAGTAAGAATAAACAATCGCACGGTGTGGCGATTGTTTACAATGTTGTAAATGCAGCTGTACAATAGACGAGCAAATGAGACGACAAAATTCGAAAAATGTAGGAACGTAGAGCACGTGTTGGCGGGTAAATCAAAATTTGTTATCACGATGCTGACGACATTAACACTGGATAGCGACGTTATCTCCAAATGCCAAACTGTGAATCATAATAATGCATCAGAGTGCCATTGCATCGGCAAATATATATACAGCGAAGAGAGATCCTAGGGACCTCGATCGGCCATTATCTCTCTCCTATTAAACTTTAGATCTACCGAGGGGTGATTTTATTGCAATGACCTTGCTACCCTAATAGCTCCCTGAATGGCGTTGTTTCAGATTATCTGTTACAGCCATTTCTATTGAACCCTATTTATCTGTCTCCTACAGCGTTTGATTACATCGATGTATAGACAAACGAAGTGGCGAAACGCTGTCGAGCAAATCTCGATTACAATTATTTCTATATCTTTCGCACTCTGCTTCAATTCCATCGGTATCCGAACCTGACTGTATTCATTTAATTACTTACTTCCGATATCTGTTGTTTTTCACGTATTTGATTTAATTAATCTCGGGTTTTATTGATTTTTTTTAAAGTTTAATCGTTATGTCGTATACAGAAAAAGTAGAAAGAAAGCATCTCAGTGAAAAATAAATTAACCTCTGGCGCTGAAATGACTTGCCACGCACGTCGAGAATTTTCTGTTTCAAAATTTTATATTTTATTCATTATCTTACATTATACTTATATTTTATTTATTTTATATTTTATATTTTATTCATTATCTTATATTTATATTTTATTTATTTTATATTTTATATTTTATTCATTATCTTATATTATATTTATATTTTATTTATTTTATATTTTATATTTTACTCATTATCTTATATTATATTTATATTTTATTTATATCTTATATTTTATATTTTGGTATTTTCTCAGTTTTAAGTATATTTAAGTCAAACAAAATACGCAAAACAAATGATAAATTTATTACTTCTCAATAATTTCTATCCAGTGATGTCGTACCGACCAGTTCAAAAAGAATGCGACGAATTACTGTATACGGTTTGGTCACTCGTTATGGTCCGCAATCAGTCGCCAGCGCAAGTGGTTAAAAAAGAAACAGCCAAATTTGTTGATCAATACAATTATCAAAACGTTTTCGCGAAGAGTGTATGAATCATTAATAATTTTTCTTGTTTAATTCTTCCAGTTGCAATGAAACGTACATATCCCAAGTAACATTTTAAAGCAAATTCTTCAAAATTCATACACAGAATTTGTTCAACCAAAATTCCGGTGTATTGCTGTTTCGAACAAATATTTCCTTAAGCAAATTATGCATAACGAGCAATATAATTTATTTTATTCTTGTTAACAATGTTATTTCGATCATTTGCAATTATTAATTATGCATTGTTTTGCCAAAATACGTAAAACTTGTTTTACCATACTGTAAATGTTTGGTTCCTACATTTTTCATGTGATCATTGCAATAAAAACATTTTATCATTTGCTTTTTAACACCAGTGGACAAATGTGTCCCCTTTTTTATACTCGTTAAAATGATAATATATACATAAATAGGGAAATTCTTCGATTCATTTCGATGTGATATTATAGACATTGAACTCGAATTTGTTTTTCAAAGATAATATATAAAACTGTATTTATTAAGCATCATATAACGTGCAATTTTAATTCCTTTTGATATATTATAAATTTCTCCATATATATGTTTTGCAAACACATAAATAAGTATAATTGTAGAAAATGTTTTTTCTACAATTTTCGTTTAACATTGTTAGAATAAATTTTAATATTTCGTTGGTCTACCTTCCACAGAATTTACTAATACACAACTGTTTTAATTATTCTTATTTTTCCGTACTTCTTTATCATATAATTTATTTCAATTTAATGGTTTCTCTTTTGTTCTACAATACTTCAGTCAGTTTTAAATTCGCCAATTGCGCTGTCGATTGCTCGAATGACCTAATATCTACTCAAATGTCGAGAATAGCATTTTTATATGCTATTTATATGCTGGAAACTGTACACGTATTCTACATGTCCCAGTCTCCAACCTGCAGTTTCATCTTTTCGAACCAGATATTCGTGTTTAAGAAAAAAGGAATACTTCGAAATTAAATCCTTAATTAAAAATAAAAAAAAAATAAAAAAAAAAAACGAACCGAGGCTGAAAGGATTAAAGTCAATAGCGCACTGTCTTTGAATTTAATCCCTCGAACTTATAATATCGAGTCGTGGTAGAAATTAAGGTCCCGATTTAAAAGGAAATTGCAAACCAATGAAATTTCAATTCAGATTTCAAATTTAATTTCATCAAATTGAACATTGATAAATAAAAATTACGTGTAATCGTTTCGATACTTTAGACACTTTAAATTAATCTTCTAGTTTCAATAAGTAATGCTTACCATTTGAGATTGGAAAGAAAATCGTGAGACAAAGGATTAAAGGTATTCTGTATAAACGTATACTTGATCCCTGTGATCTTCCGTAGGAAGAAGGTATCGCGTGTACCGTTTTGACAATGATCAAGTGCCGTACATTCTAAAAATTCCGGCGCATTTCTGCCCCAGAAAAGAAGGATAGAAAACGAGCAAGCAGCAGAGTCGTAATCGCGATCGTCCTGGTGGCCCGTTTCGATTTCAACGAGAAACATGCGCGCGCCACCGAGAACACCGAACACTCTTCACTCTTTTTGTTTTCCCAAGCATTTTTAGCCTCGTGGCCATTTCAAAGGACGTTGCCTTGTTCGAAATGAGAAATATCTCGCGAAATGTCTGGCGAAAACAAATTTACCAGGATTGAATCTTCTTGGGATTAATTCTTTTTAACGATTTATAGATTATGATGTTGTTGAAGTGAAAATTTAATCAGAATAATGTTAAATTATTTTAATTTATTTGCAAATTTTGAAAATTTCACATCTCGTGTAGACGTATAAAATTGCAGAGCATATTTGATGTGTCAAGATGAATAGTTAATATTAATCTCTTCGTAAAAATATTTCATTGTCACGTCGATGTAGTGTATCATTGATTTTCTCACGCGTCATTTAAGTATTCTCTCGACTAATTTCTTGTTACATCATGGAAATTGAAAAAAAAAAATCTAAACAACTTAAATGTAAATAAATTTTTATTTTCCAAAGAAATACAAGAAGAAGGGTTTTTTTATCTTCTTTGTCATTCGTAGGCAGAATTTTTATTCAAAAATATTCTAAAAAACGACTTTGTAGTTCTACTTGTGCATTATATTTTTCGTTATTACTAAAAATATGAATTTGCGCGGTACACAGTTTTCTCAAGGGATATACTTTATGTCTGCTCGAAGCAGGATAAAAGTGTCTTTGCACGTTCGAGGAATCCCATAAACGCAGGTCGATAACACAGAATGCTTCTTTATTTTCTTGCATTCCTTACTTCTCCAATGACATTCAAAAGTATTCTTATTTAAGAAATTACTTCATTTATAAACTATAATCACTGTCTCGATTCTTTACGCATTTGACAGTTCATATAACGTCAAATTGTTATTTTTTTTTTTTTTTTTCTTTATCTCTTTTACGTTTGATAAAATTGCCACGTCACCTGAATTTTAATAAAACCAATATTTCCATTCGACGAGAGTATTGAGCAAACCGTTTGAAATCCATTCCACACAGATGCGTCACCTGACCTTATCAGTCTTTCCAAACGTCACCCAATATGCGCAAACTCGAGCAGTTTTAAATCAACCTCGGCAAGATGCGTAATTAAATTCGTGAAAATACCAATAAGCTAGCCAGACTAACGAAAAATCCAGTAATTAAAAGTGTTTGAAACGTCTCCCCCGATTCCATGTTCTATCGAGGAAAAAGCACGCTCTTCAGTCGTTAATCACTTGCGCTGGCAACTGATTGCGGACCATAACGAGTGACCAAACCGTATACAGTAATTCGTCGCTCTATTGAGAAGTAATGAATTTATCATTCGTTTTGCCTATTCTGTTTCACTTAGTTATACTTAAAACTGCGAAAACATTACAATTGTTTTGAAACAAAAGATTCTGGCACGTCATTCCAGCGCAAGAGGTTAAGGATAAGTACTCGGGTTGAACTCGCGCTGTCAGTACACAGTGGAATTGAAATTTTCTCAGTAGAAGTTGTGAGTGGGGAACTGTTCGTTTAGACATGGACGAAACGATTGTTCACCCGGTGTATCGCGAAATTAATAAAAGAACAAGCGAGAGAGTGAGAGAATGTGTAAGCGAGTGAGTGAGTGAGTGAGTGAGTGAGTGAATGAGTGAGAAAGAAAGAGAGAGTTGTGGTTTAACTCGCGCGAATCGAGAGCGACGTCAAGTTCAATGATAATCGAGACGGACTTGGCACGCGTCACCGCGACCGGATTTTCCCTCTTCGTTGATCTTGGACCGATAGTGGCGCCACGCTAGCTACAGACATGGCGTCGATCATGTTTCTACGCGGAACAGAGGAACCTGCCAGCGAGACGACGATTCAGCAACGTGTGCATTACCTCGTGTTCATCGAACAGTCCTAAAAACCATGTACTAAAACGTTATCGTTCGCTCGGACAAAAAACTGTGAGACAATTTTTCGATCGAGAAAAGACTTGGAGTTCTTCGATCTCGAAAACGAGAAACAAAAAAAAAAAAAAGAAAAAAGAAAAAAGAAAAGAAAAGAAAGAAAGAAAGAAAGAAAGGAACAATAGTATAGTTAACAGAGACATACCTAGTTGCTTCGCGATAGAGAGGGGTAAGAAGTTTCGAGGATAGTTTGTTGGGATTGACCAAGAACGAGAGAACACCCGGCGATAATCGGTGTCGCAGCCGGTGTTCGATGAGAACCGAACAAGATTTGGTGCATACCCAGCGTACGTGAAAAGATCCTCGGGCACGAGGACGGGGCGCCGAAGAGATCGTCCTCGACAACGACGATCACGACGACAACGATGCTGCGCTCGCCGGCGCGCGTCGTTCTCCAGGATTCTTCCGCCTCGACGTCCTCGACCCTGTCGGCGCCACCGACGCCGGTCCACCACGGCGCCGCCACCAGCTCCACCGTCTCCTCGCGTCTTTCCCTCCTCGACACCTGCCACAGGAAGATCAGGTTCTTCGGCGAGCTTGTCGCGTGAGTCCCTCCGTCTAGTTCCATCTCGTCTCTAGATTTCTCTATTATATGTACATACATGAATTTTTATATATATTTACATTTCAATATTGTACACGTGTACTTATATGCGGAAATGTCTTCGACGTAGAGGACGCTGGCTTGGCACAGGAAGTGTCGTTAACTTACTTGCGCTGGCAACTGACTGCGGACCATAACGAGTGACCGAACCAATAATTACACAATAATACGGTCGCTTTCTTTTTGAACTCGTCGGTATGTCACTGGATAGACATTATTATTATTATTATTATTATTCGTTTCGCCTGGGTTATGCTTAAATGTACTTGAAACTGAGAAAATATTGCAAATTTTGTGACAAAAAATTCTCGACGTGCGTGGCCAGTTTCTCCCAGCGCAAGAGGTTAACCATCTATTTATCGAAATAGGAGCAATGGAACAAAGATTATTTATCAAATCATCTACCGCGAGATTAAATTATTCGTTTTTTTTTTTTTTTTTTTTTTTGCATTTCTTTTTTCTTTCCCAAAATTTTTTTTTTTTTTTTTTTTTTTTTTTTTTTTTGCATTTCGTATTTCGTTCCCAAAATTATTTTTCTATCTTGATATTTGTTGTTATTTTCTGGATAGAACGATCGTATCCACTGTCTAAATTTGGAGGCGGACATCCCTCTATTTTGAATCTTGCCGATGTATAGCTACTTTTGGGTCGTGAGTAAAAGTTAAATTTCAAAGTAAAAGTTGTGGGAACTGTTTCACTTTTCAAAAGTTTTTACGAAGAAAGAATCTGGATCATTGGTGGATAATTTTACTTATTTTTGTTAAATGGTGTATCTGCATTCTCTCGTGGATTTCAGTTTTATGCGGAAATAATATCGTGAATTACAAGATTGCTACGCTTATAAATATAGGTTGACATTGGATATATTGTAGCAATGGATATGTCAATCTTTTTATTAGAATTTAAATATTTGTCAGGCCTTTTGCGACGCGTTGTTTATTTAAAAACAAGCCAGTATCTTTCGCCCGAAGACATTCCGCATATGCACGGTATAAAATTAAAGCTGTTGCGGGTCAACATCTCAACAACTACAAGAAACAAAAACATTTCTGTGTTATTACACTCGCTTTCCTATGAACATCTTTTCACTATTTCACCATTAAGATTCATAATAATTCGTGTGACACAAAAGGACAAAAATATTATTAAAAGCAATCAAGCGTTCAATACTTTGTTGAAAAGTACAGTGGAATGTAAATTTTCTAGTTCTTGAGATATTATCCCTTGGCATCTTTCATTTTCATACTGTGTACAAAGAGTTGACAGAAAATAGCGATACAAGTGGAAATAGAATAATTCGATCACCCAAATTTAATCGAGATAAAATAACAATGTCTCTCGTGTAAACTTCCTTTTTTTGAAAGCATAAAGAAAAAAAAGGGGGGGGGGAGGAAAAAATATACAAAACTTTCCATGAGAAGAAATTATTTTGTTATGAGAGGAATTATTTTATTTGTAATTGTATCACGATTTTCCACGTACCTTATTATATATACATATATACATATATATATATATATATATATATATATATATATATATATTTCTCTGTATAGCCGGCTGAAAATTATCGTTCGTTATGTTTTCTTGCATGGCATACATATGTATTTCTCTGATTGAGCATCGAAAATCGAGAATTTTTCATTATTTAACGCTTTGCTGGTCTAAAAGTTAGGTGTGACATATTTTTCTTTCTTTTTTCTCTTCTTCTTCTTTCTATTTCGAAATCGTGCGCTAACTGCGAGATCTAACCTCGTCGCTTATTCGGCATAAAAGATTCAAACGGCGTGTCGAACGTGTTAGTCGATAGTTTTGGAAAATCGTTGGAAATACACTGACAGGGCGGAAAATAGCACACTCGTTCGTGAAATGGGATACCTTCTCTCGTTGCACGATGTTAAAATTGGAAAAGTTTAGGTGTGTTGCATCATCAATAGACGGGGAACGCTGTCGTTACGAGCTTGGTGTCTCGTATCATATTAAACGCGTGCCGATAGTTTTCTCGTTATGAATTTCCAATGTATCGCTGTCACGTTAGATTCGTTTCCAAGAATTTGTTATAAAAATTCGTCGCATCTTGAATTTCTATGCCGGTGTGTTCTTGCTCTTACTAATTTAGATGCTTACTGGGATTATATTTTTGTTCTTGAATCCCTCTTACGCGAAGGGACTCGAGTGACAAATATCAGTGCTATTACAAACTTCAAAATGGCAAGTCCAGATTCTTAGACGACAACATGTAGAAGTATTATACATCGTACATCGTTCTTGGATTTAAGACACGCGAATTTTTCAGAATTTTCGCGTGTACAATACAATAATTTGAAACGTACATTGAGAAAAGATGAATCAGATGATCAGATGGCCGATGATGATTGAGGGGGCAGGACAGTTTTACGAATACTTTTGAGGGCAAGTAAAACAAAAGTACATATTTGATTGACACGAGCATTTGTGGTTTATTTCAACACATTATGAACAACATTAAAAAAATAGAAAAAGAGGACTCTTATTTAACTCTTTAACGGCATCCTTTTACGTAACTTTTTTTTTTTTACATTGCCTATCGGTGTGCATGATTCCAGCCAAACAGGATTAGCTGCAAACAAAATGGCAAGAAAAGTTCAAAAGTAAACAGTACTCTCTAGGGATTGAAGATTCAACATTATCATTTTTGTGAAAATGATGAAAATACCAGCTATTTGGTTTTGATGTATCGAGTTTATGCCAAGAATTTCTACGTTTTTAGTTTATAGTTTTCGAAATTGTTAAAAATTAAAAAATGTTCGATCGTCAATCCCTAGCGAACGTTACACTAAAGATACGTACCAAGTTTCACAGTAATCGGTTGGTTAGATACCGTTTCTAAAAGCCTAGTTTCGAGAAAAACGCGTTCAAAGTTCCAGAACGTCATTCTTCATACGTATCCATTATTTAATTTTTTTACTTATATATATCGCCGCTCACAGTTCTTACAATTCACAACTAAATTAAATCCAAATCCCCTAGTATGCGATTCAGCGAAAGTAATATTTGAATCACACGATTTACACTTTATAATACTGATAGAGTTGTAAACAGTGATACAAATTCAATTATCTGTATCCACGGATTTATATTATTATACCCCAAAATAAGTCGTTTTAAAGGCTAAGGACCTTTTTGTATCTTATTTCTAAGACATCAAACTACTATTTAAGACAAAAAAAAATCGATTTTTTGAAAATTTCAAACTGTCCTGACCCCAGAGAAACTCATCCAATCGCGTTACGGCGGCGTTTTATCATTAAGACTTGAAATCAAACGAAATCTCTCAAATATATATATAACGTCCCTTTTGCTTACGATCATTTTAATCAACAGGAATTTAGCGGAGGTTCCCAGAAATAGCAGAAAGTGTTTAAATAAACGAGATTTCATTAGATAAATGGAGCAGAGATAAGTATCGTGACGGAGATGAAACATTTCAGTACACTCGAGGCATGAATGAAAGATTATTAGTTTCTATAGCTCTGTTTCGACGAGAAGTCGTGGAGAAACATATCCTTGAAATCTCGAAGAACGAGAATTTTATCATTTTTCCTCAGTGAAGTATCGATCTTTCAAACATTCGAAACGAAATGAACTCGAACATTCGGGGAAAACGAATGGAAAGATATTTAAAAAAAAAAAATAGTAACAATGACGAATAACTGATAAAAACAAAATTGGCCACGAGCAGTCAGATGTTCTCATCTCTGTCCATGGGCGAACTGGATGTTTATGATATTGTTTTGCGATATCTGGTGAAAACTGGCGATAACGGAACGACGAAAGAGCAAATTCGGCCAGTTTTTTCCACACAAGCGCAGCTTGTTTCCGGCGGCATGAGCTTTTATTCTAACATAGAGGAAAGGACACTACACTGATGCTTTGGCCGGCGTAGACGTGGCTGAAATTTTGTGGCGCTCTGGTTATATACTGCATGCGAATAGAGCATTTTAGCGGCTGGCAAAAAACTGATTACACAACTCCTTGTTCGAGTGCAAAGTCAAAACGTCGAGCACTCGTCGCCACATTCCTCGCGTCGACATCTGTTTTATTTAACCTTTTCATTGTAATTTATGATGATTTGTCGTCCAGCCAAGACGGACGTTTCAATGCATACATCTCCATAGATTGAAATTTCAGCTGACCTTTCTTTTTCTTTCGTTTGAAAATTGACATTCGCTGAACATCAAAAAAAAAAAAAAAAAAAAAAAAAAAA